ATTACGAGATATAACCCCAGAAGACATTCAAGACACAGGACAGTCCCTTATTATAAAAATACCGCTCTCACAAACAAAATACCGCTACATGTTGGTGCCAGAAAATTATTATCCTACATGTAAAAAATACATGGAACTTCGACCCGACTCGGACAAAAAATTGCCGTTCTTTCTAAAATATATCAATGGAAAATGTAATAGAACAATTGTGGGTGTAAACACACTGGGAAACATACCTAAAAAAATTGCACAATTTTTAAATCTTTCCGATGCTGAAAATTACACTGGGCATTGTTTTAGAAGATCAGTGAATAGTGTATACATTAACGATATTAATCCACATGACGACATTGACATGGTTAAATCAGAGCCAAATGAGGAATTTTAAATTAAAAATGTTGATTTAGATTTAACTAAATTTAATTTAAATATTGTTTTTCTTGTGAGCAACAACGATATCAAAAACTTTAATATTATTGTTATTAAATTTTATTTATACATACGTAATTACGTAATTAGTTTTAAGCTTTTGTAAGAGTAAATTTATTATATAAATAAAAAGAATTCTTATTTTGTTGATTTCGTTTGTTTAATTTTATAACCATTTCTGTTGAAGTAATTAACTTCAAAAATATAAAAAAATTGAATCTTTTAGATATTATATATTTTGACATGGCTACGAAAAACCCAAAAATAATATTGGACATGAATACTTATCTAGTTTTAAGAAAAGAAGTAAATAAAACTGTTTGGATGTGCACGCAGTATTTTCACTCCAAGGAAAATCGATGTAAATCAAAATTGGTAACAAGAGGAAAAATTATCAATTTAACTGGATTCCACAACCATGAACCTAAATTTAACAAAAATATAAACCGTATGCTTTCTCAAAAAGTAACTATCATAAGGAACTAAAATACTCATTGTTTTGGAATATATTTCATTAAAATATTAAATGCATAAGTGTTATTTTTTTTATCTTCCATTTTTTATAAGGAGTTTTTCTTTGTATTCAATTTTTGTGGTGTCGTAAGTTTGTTTCCATATAATTTAAATTATTAAATTATGTTTAAGGAAAAATATATTTTGACGTTGCAACAAAAAATCCAAAAATTGTCCTGGATGACCATGATTACCTGGTTTACAGGAAGGAAACCAACAGAACAGTTTGGAAATGCAATCATTATTTTCATTCGAAAGAAAATAGATGCAAATCAACTCTTGTGACAACCGGACGAATAGTAAATGTTAGCGCGGATGAACACAATCATGCTTCAAAACAGAAAAAAGATAAATACAAAAATTTGTTGTGTCAAGATGTAACCATAATTCGAGAGAATAAAAACAATCTGCAATAAAATTGTTTTTTACTTTAGATTTGTTTGGAATTCCAACCTGAAACTAAAACATAAAATTGTAGGTGTCATATACTTCGATGTTGGAATGAAAAATCCTAAAATCATCGTCGAAGATCATGGATTTTTAATGTACAAAAAGGAAGTGAACCAAACGATTTGGTATTGTTCTAATTATTTTAACAAGAGGGAGATCCGATGTAAATGTAAAATAATAACATCCGGTAGAGTTGTAAACATTTATGGTGAACATGTTCACGATTTAAAAGTTAAACCGGATAAATTTAAAAATACACTATCACAGTCAGTTACTATTATAAAACATGCGCAATAATATGGTTTTCAGGTTTTATTTAAAATGCCAATTTACTTCAATGCAGGGTGGGCAGATTTTTTCTTTTTAAATACATATAATATTGTTTGTTAGTGATTATTATGAAGGCTTTAAAATTATTGATCAAGTCTTATTTCTAAAACTTTGTCTTTCTGATAGTTAGTATGGACGTCGTTTTTATTAACACATCCCTCGCCCTTTCACAACTTTTTTCCAAAGAAAATATGTATTAATTAAAAACTTTTTTAATATTAAAAATACATTTTGTACTATTATACCAAAAATATGGCAATTTTCAAAATAAAAGTTTGCAGAGTTTAAAGCCTCCAAACGGCCATTTCAAGCGCGCGAAACGCACGAATTACAAAACTGTTTTTATAAAAAAAATTGTAGATTATTTATTATATAATATTTTGGCATCAAAATTGTCCAAAATTTTCTTCTTTTATTAGGTTATACATTAAATAAAAAAAAAACGCAAGAAATATTTTATGAAAGTAGATATAATTTTAATAATTGAAAGGTGTGGACGGGACAAAAACAAGATTTATCTTGTCCCGTCCACCCCTGTCAATTATTGAAATTATCTCTACTTTTATAAAATATTTCTTGCGATTTTTTTTATTTAATGTATAGCCTAATAATAGAAGAATATATTTGACAATTTTGATGCAAAAATAATTTATAATAAATTACCTACAATTTTTTTTATAAAAACAGTTTTGTGATTTGTCACGTCCATCCGCTTGAAATGGCCGCAAACTCATTTTTTTGCCACATATAATTTGTTTAAGCTAATTGGAAAAATATATCCAATAATCTTTTTACTATTTACTCTAAAAAAAGAAAAGTTTGTCTGCTTCACACGTTATGACGTATGACGTATTTTACATATTTTAAATAGGTATATTTAAAATTTAACAAACTCATTACGTATCTTTTGTTTATAAGACTATTTTTCTCAAGGAAATTATTATCAAAATGGCACAATTGGGTATTAAAAAAAATATATCGACTCTTTTACTGCACTTTAAAAATTTATCATAAATAATATGGATAATTAATGAGAACAATTTTTAATTTTATAATAATTCATAAATGATTAAAAATTGGTAAAATTTAAAAAAATATCACAGACTAAGAACGCGTCATGATTGCCTGCCACGTTTGTGACGTTATTTTGTTATAATCTTAGGTTGCAATAATGATGCAATTATGATACAATTATTGTATCATGGGTTGCAATGTTTTGACGTTAGGACTTGACAGCTGTCAACGGCTTCTATAATGTGTATACGCTAAAGAAGTATCGGGTTTTTGCAACGCGCGCGCCATCTGGTGGACTTCGAATGCATTGCGTGACTTTAAGAATTGTCAACAATAAATTTAAAGCACCGATTATACATCATTTTTAAATAAATAGGTAGTTTTACAAAAGAGAGAAAGGCAGAAGTCTTACTCAACAAATTTTGTTCAATTGCACAGCTAAATCGCGCACGTTATTTGGGTTTTACCGTAAAACTTTTAAGGAAAAAATTAAAAAACTTTTTTAGTACTCGATTTCGATTGATTATTCCTTATATCATTGATTAAGAAACTCAACGCTTAAATGCTTATATGGTTACGATAGTGTGTGTATTTTATCAAAGGGATCATAGTGAATTATTGTGTTTTTAATTGTAAATAAAATTCAAGAACTAAATCGTTGCATTTTCATGTTTTGCCGAAGGATCCGATTCGGTAGGTACATTTGTTGGGGCAGAATTAACTAATGATAACTTTACCTAATATAATTTATATTTATGTTTGGATATTTTTAAGAAATTATTAAAAAATAATTTTTGCACAAACATAACCTTAAAATCAATCATTTTTATATTTGAATTCTCTAAAAAACGCCGACAACTGCATTTTAAACAACAAAATATAACTACGAAATTATGGCAACATAATATTATATATAATACATAATACACGGAAAAAAATAATCGGTAGAGGCTACCGATTGGCAATCGGTAGACTCTACCGAAAAAATCGGTAGACTCGGTTCCCTCAACCGATTTTTATCGGTAGCAGCTACCGATTATTTTCGGTAGAGTCTACCGATTTTTTCGGTGCAGGCTACCGAAAAAATCGATTACCAATTGTTGAAAATTTTTGTATTTTTTTAGCGAGAAGTTAAATACTCCCTTTTTATTAAATAGAAAATAGTATTTTTTTTTGAGGTATAAATAAATTTGAAATACAAAAATATTAAAAATGAGGAGTAATTTTTATTAAATTTTTTACAATTCTAAATAAATATTAAATTAAATGTCTGGTGGCTACAAAGTAGAGTAATTTTTATTAACTTGAATAATGTTTAATATTATTTTTAAATGTTAATATTTTTAAGTATTAAGTAATATATTTTTTTTAATTTTCTAACAGCGCATCGATGCGGATTTTCTCGGTTACGGCTACCGAAAAAATCGGTAGACTCTACCGAAAAATAATCGGTAGCTACTACCGATAAAAATCGGTTTTTTGCTGCTTTAAAGAATTCTTAATCCACGCTTTTAATAATGCTAAATGCCATTTAAATTTAGAGGACTTATATCTTTGACGATTTTTACTGAATTAAAATGTTTACACTTTTCACTACTAAAATGTGTATTTATTGTATCTAATAGGTACAATTTATATTTACAGAGACTGTATGTAATTTATTTCTTCATTCAGATTAACACTGTTTATTGGAAAACTGGTAAAAACTCAACCCAGGATTTCCTCTCGAAATACACCCAACAACACAACAAATCGATCCACGGAACACTCGTTTGTATCCTAAGCGTTTGACAGCTAAAAGTTCTACTTTTGTTACGATGATAACAGCCGAGTGGTGGCGCTACTAGTGATACTTCTTTAGCGTATATATAACTGTAAAAATAGTTGAAATTTAGTTCAAAAAATATTGTTGGCAAGTATTTTAGTTAAGTAATTTGTAACAAAGGGTTTTTTCTGTGGGTAAAAGGCATAAGGGGATAAGTCAAAAAAATTAATTTTTTAGTAGTGCCATAAACGTGTTCGCATTAATTTAGGAAATACATTTATGGTTAGCGGGTATACCCTTTTGCCAGCACATGTCATATGCTAGCAAAAGGGTATGCTCGCTAACCATAAATATATTTCCTGAATTAATGCGAACACGTTTAAGTCTCTACCGAAAAATTGCTTTTTTTGACTTATCCCCTTATGCCTTTTACCCACAGCTTTATGGCCAATTTTGATAATATACCTGGGTTAAATATATTTTTTAAAAATTTCCAAAAATGACATTTGGTTCAATTCAGCAGAAGTTCAAGGTGCTAGAGCATTCATGTGAGTTTAAAAAAAATAGTAATGTAAATGTAGATAAGAAACAAAAGATTTTTAATTAAATGAAATTAATTGTATACAATTCAGGAAATATATTTATGGTTAGCGAGATATATCTAATTAAATTATTTGTGGTTATGTTCGAACGCTAAATACAATAGTATGACACGTGCTGGGATTTTTTCGGGAACTGTCGGCGGGTCATTGGTACCAGGTTTAAAAATTTATTTTTAATTATAGGGAACAAAATACTTAAAATAATAGTTTTATTTTCATTTACTAATTTTTTTTTCAAAACTCAATTGTGTTTAAAATGTGATGATTTTATTTGGTAGAAACGTTTCTGGAAACCCTGTGTATATTATGAAATAAAACTAAAACTTAAAATTGCAGGTGTCATATACTTCGATGTTGGAATGAAAAATCCGAAATTGATTGTTGAAAATCATGGCTTTTTAATGCACAAAAAAGAAGTGAACCAAACAATTTGGTACTGTTCTAATTATTTTAACAACAGGACGATTCGATGTAAATGTAAAATAATAACTTCAGGTAGAGTTGTAAACATTTATGGTGAACATGTTCATGATCCGAAAACAAAACCGGATAAATATAAAAATACACTTTCACAGTCGGTTACTATTATAAAGCATCCACAACAACTCTAGATGAGTCTGATGTGTGATATGCAAAATAAACTTGTCTTTAAACAATTTGGTCTTGTACGTGTTGTGTGTTAGTATTGTATTAAATGAATTGTTTTAATTTATTACTGTATCAATATAATTTAAAACATAAAGAATATGATTTTATTTAGTTAATTTAGATCTGCCCCTTTTAAATTCTAAGGATTTATTTATTATGGTATTATGGTATTATGGACAAGATTTTAAATTTTATTTATAAATAATTGATTTTTTCGATTAATCGATTATTTGATTAATGGATATTGGATGTCCTTGTCCTATTATTGGAATGTATTGTTCTGTTGGGCAAATAAATTATTATTATTATTATTACACAATAATTTTTAACCAACATATTATACGGTGGATCCCGCTACTTTAACTAAATCGCAGTGAAATATTTTAATATAGAAGAGTCAGCAATATCTGTATCGAAGAAGTTTTTGAACTTGATTGTGATTGTAGATAAATCCAGGGTGAACTATTTCAGATAACACCGACCGACACAATTTTAAATCATAACCCAGACAATACTTTTACAAACGCTGAATCCGAATTTGACCTTGACTTTTGGGTCCAAATTTCTCGAATAAACAATTCATTTCCGGTTGATTCTGCGGGACTAGCTATGATAAAAATATGACAATAAGCTGAAAATTTAATAAAAATAAACAAAAACTTGAATTTGGCTACTTGTTCATAAACAGTCACAGCTTTGGATAAGTATCTATAAATTTCTTTTAAAAATACCTTGTTTACTTTGCAAACGCGTAAACTCTACATAGATTATTCCAGACTGAGCATATTTCAATGATTTTTACTTTGCGAAAAGGTTAATTAATTTTTATTTGGACAGATAGTACAATTAGGAGGTGAGTCATCTTGAACTTTAAAACGATGTCAATCTAGGACTTTTTTAATCTTTTGGATACCTTGTTTGTTTTCAATTTATCACCTGTTTGTTATTGTTAATGTAACTATATACATAGTATATTTAAGTATAAGTTTATTTGATTGTGGGGCAAAATAATGGTGCATGCAACTCATGAATGATGGTCGACTCTGAACTCGCATATTTGTTCGTGTATTTTCCCCACTCGTTGCACGATAATCGAAAGAATAAGTTAGCTTTTGTTCCCACGATAAATTTTAGGTTTATCCGGTTAAATACATTTAACTGGAAGCATTCTAAAAACAATGGTGTACATTATTTGGAGCATTTAGAGCATAGGAAACGAGATTTGTGCAAAAACGATTTTCACAATTCTTGACCTTCAGTCTCATCTCTAGAGATGAGGGCTCTCCGAGATAATGTAGGTATATTTTGCCTTATTTGACTGTAGTCGAATGATTTTTATTCCTGCATAAATCCCTTGCCTTTATCTGAAAAAATTCTGCCCTTTTAATTACAGAGACAGTTCGATTTGGTAACAACTTTTAATCTAAATTATTTTGATTTTTTTTATTGTAGGTATCATTTATTTTGATGTGGGTATCAAGAACCCAAAGATCATGTTGGATGGTTTTGACTACAGGCTGTACAAAAAATTTCCGGATAAAACAATTTGGATATGCACCCAGTATTATGCTACTGAAAAAGATATATCATATGTGAGGTGTAAAAACAGAATTATTACAAGTGGCAGAAAAGCGTTTGTTAGCGGGCAACATAATCATGAACCAAAACAAAAAAATGTAAAATATAAATTATCGCAAGCGGTAACTATCATTAGAAGCTAAATGTAGGTACGAATGTACAAATGTTGAGCTAAGCTAAAAAAATATATGTATTATTTTTATTTGGTTTAATAAATTATTTAAAATTTTTTTCTACATTTTTCTAATTTTCTAACGCGTCAGAAAGGAATACAGCGGTGGCAACCGTTTTATTAGGTTGGCAAATGACTTCATACATATTATTTAAAATGTTTGTATGTAAAGTGTATTTAAATTTCATTGTATCGCAAACTAAAGCCAAAAATACCCCAGTACCGATTTTCATAGCGATCGAGTGTAAAACACATTACTCCCAAATATCACTTCATAGAAAATTTTATATAGTAACATTCGCCGCGACAACTGTTGTCGCGGCGAATGTTTCAAATTGCGTCATAAAATTCTGAACCAAGAACAGACATTACAATTATTCTTGTTTTCTTTTACGTATATAATCCAAGGGACCGCTAGGTTAACCGTATGTCGAGAAATGCTAACCTAGAAAAAAGTTGTCACCACTGGATTCCTTGGCCTCGAATTAGGTAAGAATGACCAATTTCCTGAGGTTTAAAAAAAGTTCCAAAACTGGGACAGTGTATTGAAATTTGTAGGTATAAACTTATATATCCATATCATATCATAGACTAATATACTTATATTTTAGGTTTGATTTACTTCGATATGGGTCATAAAAATCCGAAAATAGTCTATAAAATGAATGACTACTTAATATATAGAAAACTTCCAGATAAAACAGTGTGGCTTTGTGCACATTACCACAGGAAAGATAGATGCAAAGCCAAAGTGGTTACTAAGGGAAAAGACGCATTGGTTCAAGGAAATCACAACCACTTGCCAACTTACAAGCAAAAATTTCAGAAACACATGGTTTCGCAGCTGGTTAATGTCCATTTCGAGGAACTTTAATTTAATTTTTCTATTAGGTGCTTGAGTTATTATCATTGGATATAAATTCACAACTTTAAAAATGTTTGGTTAGTAATTTTTTATATAGAATTGGTAAATAATAAATAAACATCATGAAATATAATAATATAAGGTTATTATGAAGTAGTATATTTTGTATAGCATATTTTTGCATATTAAATAAAATTTAATACTTATGTTTTTTTATAACTTCCCTATAGTTAAAATTTACTTTTTTATTTTTATTAAAAAAGTTTAAGAAAAGAAAAAAAGGATATAAAAATTATTGGATAAAATCAAAATTTCGATAATTTTTATATATTTTTTTTCACGACTTTTGTAACTTTAAAGGAACCTAATTTGGTTTCGTACAAGCATTTTATAGTGGAAAGTCATCACCTTTTCAAATTTAAATTTAAAAACTTACATCTAGCTCACAAAAATACTTTCTTAAATAGATTTTAATGACGAAACTGATGACTTTTAAAGCATTCAGGGGATGGTAATTCACGACAAATTAAGAAAGTTTTTACATTAGTGCTAATGTTAAATAAAACAATTATATATAAATTGGCATTTTTAATGACGAAACTGATGACTTTTTAAGCAAACAGGGGATGGTAATTCACGCAAAATTAAGACACTTTTTGCATTAGTGCTAATGTTAAAATCGGTTAGTACCTGAGTCAAGCCACGTCAAATGGGACCAGAAAATTTCACGAAATCACCGATTTTGAAAATAATGTGTAGTAGGCATGACTCATATGTCCCAGTAAAAAAATTATGAATTAAATTTTACACATAGTGCACTATTGTAGCAATGTTTAGACTATAGAATTATAATTTATATATAGTAAATTTGTTTAAATAAAGCAATTTTGCATACATTTATTATAAACAATTGAAATTTTGTATGTGTTCTTCACGCCAAAGATAATACACGCTGAAAAAAAATTAAACTTGTGTCATAATATGCCGCAAACGTTCCCGTTTAATAAAATGTACTCAAAAATTTGTCATATGTCATTTCGGAGATATTAATTTTTTTGTCCCGCTGTGCGCTTGATCAGTAGGCAGCGCGCTTCGCTTCTAGCTCGTCAGCATGCGGTGTGCCTGAACGAGGTTTAAGTCACATAAAAATGCCGCTAAAAACTGACTGCAGCTTCTTGTTCGGGACCCTTTGGTGACTTAAAAATGATATTTAACAAAATCCCAGCTGCTACTCTTTTCGAACATTTTTGAAAATTCATGATTTTTTTTGAAATTTTTGAAGATAAATCTTTTTTGTGGATTATGCTTTTTACTATATAAAAACTTGATTTTTGGCTAACCCTAATGATGTGCTCAGTATAAAAACAGTATTCTCTAAGTCTCGTTAACAATATACTCCAATAAAAATCGGTGTACAAATGTTTACTCTGCAAATTTAAAAAAAAAGGAGTTAGAATTTTGGTAAATATAGTTTTTAAATCACCAAAGAGTGCCGATCAAAAAACTTCAACCAGTTTTTCGTTCAAAATTGAAAACTACTAAAAAGCCTAAATTAAACAACATTTTAAATATTCTCTAAACGTTATTTTATTTAATTTTATTAAAAATCTATTTTTGTTGTAAAAGGTTAATAGAATGCCATTTTGTAACCTGAAAAACGTAGAAATATCTAAAAAAAAAATGGGGATAAATCTTTTTTGCGTGTTATGCCAAAACCATGAATTTACGATTTTGCTTTATTAAAAATATTTACGGCTTTATGGGGGATTTTTGGCTAACCCTGTATATATCAAATACAGTATCATGATAAAGTACACATTTAAATTTGTACACCGATTTTTATAAAATTGGAGTGTATTATTGAGGAAACTTAGAGAATACTTTTTAATACTGTTCACCTTATTTGATATCAAAGGTAGACAAAAATTTCAACAAAAATCATGAATTTTCAAAAAATTTCGAAAAGAGGAGCAGCTAGGATCAATCAGTTTTTGGCGGCATTTTTATGTGACTTAAACTTTGTTCAGGCACACCGTGAGCACAGCGTTCCAGACGATCTAGCAGCGAAGGACATATTTTTGAGTACATCTTATAAAACAGAAACGTTTGCCGCATATTATGACACAAGATTAATGTTTTTTCAGCGTGAAGAACACATAAAAAATTTTAATTGTTTGCAATTACAATATTTTTTGTTTGAAGGTGTCTTGTTACATTTAAGTTAAAAAAGAAAAAACAATATTGTGGTTGTAAATATAAAGAATTTGGTATTGCAATTACAATATTACATTATTTTTTGTACTTTATTGTTGAAAATGTTACTTAAACCCTTCATCCACTTGTTTGTTATTTTGCACAATCAGCTATATTTGTATAGGTACCTACTTTAATAAAAACTATATTTATCACCACTCAGTGGCGGCTGGTGGATTTTGGGCACACCCATATCTCAGTTATTAGACATGGGACCCACATCAAATTTATATGAGTTTATAATGACATTATATAGACAAGTTCTGCGCAAGCAGAATTTAAATTGAAGTTTGCGAAAAAAAATTAGTTTTTAAGTGTGCCCTCCAGCCTCCTGCCCCTCCAAATTAAGATAATTCAAATTAAATTGGTAAATTTTTAATTCATTGAAGTTTATCGACAAATTTAAAATTTTATTAAAAAAGTTCAAGAATTACAGGTTCCATACCATTTTAAATTTGTTATTATTTCTTTTACTAAATTTTAAAAAAATTAGAAATGGGGGGCACCCTTAAAAACTAACTTTTTTCGCAAACTTTAATTTAAATTCTGCTTGCGCAGAACATGTCCATATAATGTCATTATAAACTCATATAAATTTGATGTGGCACTGGTAACACCACTCATTATTGATAGAAATCCCAACGATGTTGATAATAAAAACGAAAAGATACAGTTTATGGTCAATTAAATTAAAAATTCGGAAAAATGCTCAATAAAAATCAGGGAAATTTATTTTCAAGGGAGAAACCTTTTGCAATTTTTAATTTATTTATCTTAAAAAAACAAAGGTTCTAAAAAAAGTCCTTTAACAGAGCCTTGTAATACCTTAATTAATCATTAATTTTAATGTGCAGTTTCCAATTTATCGATATTAAATAAATTAAATGTGAGGGCAGTTTTTAAATGTCCAATTTCGTTCGAGCCGCACGCACATCTACACAACCACATCTCACGCGTAACGCCCGACTCAATTTTCCTGCCGTAGCATGGATGTTGCAAAACACGCACACAACCTCAGAAAAGTTAGGTATATTTTATGTCTATTGTTATTAGGTATATTTTATGTCTATTGGACACTAATATAAATTTATGTGTGCTAATTGGACAAAACATATTTAAATTTAAATAGTTATAAGTTCAAGTAAATTATATATAATTGTTAACTATTAATAATAAACTTTAACTTTTAGCAATTTTATACATAACAAACGGAAAAACAAAACATTCAAGAGCAGTAATAAACGAAGACGAATACTCAATCCACAAAAGGCATGTGAACCGAATGGCCTACAGATGTAAAATGTATACATCTCACAAATGCAGAGCATCTATTCACGTGAAAGGATCAAACGTCATATTTTCTGAAAAAAAACACAATCATAAACCAACTCGTCCATTAATAACGGATTCATGGCACTTTCAAATGGTTAAAATTATACCTAGAGTATTACGAACTACAAAAGTTGAACCTGGCAAACAACTACCAGATTCAAAATGATATCTGTATAAACTTCGTTCTGTCAACCAAGACAAAGTACAAAAGTAACCTCAAGTTTTAGTATTCCAGATTATATTTTTAAAATTTAGTAAAAGTTTTTTTGTGAATGTGATAAGAATGTACAGAAAAAATAATTTATCTATAAACCATTAAATTTAAGCCTGGTTATATTTTTTTTAAGAATAAAGTACTACCTAGTTATATGTACTACATATTATGTATGTAGATATGGTTGATATGATTGTTTTGTTTTAAAGTGTCATCTTTGATTTATTGATTTCACTAAGTTTTGATTAGTGGTCTCTAATCGTCCTCAGGTGATACTGGTAAAATATTTCAGAACGTCTACCAGTTGTGTATATTGAGCCAAAACTGTATACTCTTACGCAACAATTAGGAACCACCGCGGTGGTTCCTAATTGTGCACCGGTTTGATGTCTGCACTATATCATCAACATTTTTGGCAACTTTTGTGCAGACATCAAACTGGTCAGTAAAGTCACTAAATCAAAGATGACGGCAATCCAAAACAACACTAATACCTAGATATAACTATTTATTACCTATTATTTTATAATCTTCTTTATTTATTACGCTTACAAAAATTATACAGTTTATCTACTTAAGTTGGCAACATATGGGAAACTTTTTTATTATTAATTTTAAGAAAAAAATATTCTTCTTAAAAAGTTTTGCATGTATATATAAAATTTTTCAGTCGAATACGCGGTTTGTCAAAACGTTTGAATCTTACTCAAGAGTAAAGTACCCTTAAATTTGACAATATCAAAAATTCTTATTAAAAAAGTTGATCAGAACTAAAATCTACGTTTAAATATACAATTACTTCCATTTACATGGAAAAAATTATTATTTCTTTTTTGTTTACAATAACAATGCAAGTGTAACTGTAGTTACATGTAATCTAGGATGCACTGACAAACAAATGATTTGTTGATAGCAAGAAATGTTTGGCATTGAATGTCAAAATATCAGAATTTGCTTAGTACTTTCTGAACGGAAAAAAGATAAAGGTTCGGTTTGGTAATTTGAGAAAAATTTGTACAAAAAATTTTTTAAGAAGAAGGATGTAATTGCATATTAAAACATGGTTTTTCATTACGAACAACTTTTCATAATTACAGTTTTCGATTTTATCACAAATACAGGTACTTTACTCTTGTACCAAATTCATATTTTGGTCAAACCTCGTATATGACTAAAAAAAAATAATATTTGATAATTTTATTTTGGATTT